TCAGCTTAAGGATTCTGGCTAGCTGGGCCGGACCATTAGGGGTGAACACTTGAAAAGCACTGCTTGCTTAAAAACTTTTGGATTCCTGGCAACAGAGTGAATAAAATTCATGGCCCACCAGTTAGAAAGTATCCTTGCCATGAAAAAGAGGACGTGGTAAGTTATTCAACTTATGAAATTCAGGTTACATGTGACTTCAGCCAGGAGCATACAACGGAATTTTCCAGAGGCTGCATGACAATGATATCATAAAACATTGAATACAAGAAGCAAATACGAAAATCCAACTATGTTTATTCTATTAAACCAAACTTAAAAGATTTACCCCCAAAAAAGGTAAATAATTCCTCACTTTCTCACTAAATGTTTTTTTGAAAATACAGTTTTCCTAAAAATGTGATTCACGTGAACATGTAATAAATTCATTGTTGTTTCTTAATTAATAAAGTATTTTTAAAATTGAAAAAAGCATAATGCTTTAATGAAATAATGGATAATACAAAGCAAAATATAATTTCTAAATGTTTTGTAGATCTTCGTGGCAGGAAATGTTTACAGATGCCTGCCATGTGAATGGTTGTGATCTACCTTGTTTATAGACAAGCTGAGAATGTCCTTTTCCTTCCCATCAGTCTATATAACAAGTATTTATTTGTTTATTTTCACAAGTCATTGACTAGACATCTTCTCAGGGTAGTCCGAGGCCTCCCTCCTAAGGTATTCACTCAGTCAGGTTCACCTCTCAGAGGAGAGCCCCGCAAGCAGCTACACTGTGCTAGAAGCTCCCTCAAGTGCCATAAGAGGAAAGCCTGGCCCAAGCCATGCTCTGCTGGTCCCTGGGATCACCCCAGAACCAGTCCAGGCTCCAGTGCTGCCTTTGAGTGACAGGGGACAGCCAGGAGGTCTGGGACTTTGTTATCGCCAGATGCCAGTTCTCCTCTGAGTGCCATGTCTCCTGAGGTGACAACTGCACCAGGCCAAGTTGGATTAAATGACACAATGCAGGTACAAACGAAGGCAAAGCCCTTACCTCACAGTAAGAACTCCAAACTATTACTTGTCGAAATTCTATCACTGTGGGGCTGGCAGATGGTGTGGTGGTTAAGGGTGCTGGACTCCCACATGACCAGCCACAGTTCAAGTCCCAGATCTGGAGGCTTGCTTTCTCACTTTCCCTCTCTCTGGCTCTGTCCCTCTCTGATCAAATTAAAGAAATAAAGTTAAATAAAATCATTCTTAAAAAAAAAGAAAGAAAGAAATTCTGTCACTGCATCTTGAAAACTGAGCATTAACTAGGAAATGTGATCTGTTCCAAGTTATTCGGTATGTAAATCACAATCTCATCTTTATGTACCCTACCATAAACTTTCTCAGATGTTTTCTGTGTCTGTAGGCAAGCACTATACTAATATTTCAAGTACTCTGTTGACTAGTTTGTCATAATTTAAAACTTTAAGTAGTGACAAAATAAAAATGAATGGAAGTTAAAGGCTAGTCACACATGCTGTTTGGGTTTGGATAAATCTCATACCAGTGTCAGAGCAGACTGGGCAGCATTCTCCTTCAGGTGTCACTGTCCGGGGGCACCTCTGGGGGTGGCACATCATTTCATCACAAAGCACTCTTCCATTTGAGCAGAGGCAGGTGGTGCAAGGATCAGGAGACCAAACAGCTTTGTTGTACATGGTCATACCCTTTACCAAGCAGTGCCCCTTCTTTCCTGGAAGAGAACACCACATTTCAGTTTCTTTTCTTTTTTCTTTTTGGTTAGTTAGTTCTTTTTTTTTTTAATTTAATTTTCTTTTATGCAGTCAATCACATTATTTAACTTACAAAGTGAATATTTTAACACGTGAATATTTCTCCCTAGTCCAGTTAACTAAACTATAAAATATCTTTAACAGAAAGTGGGGCACGTTTCTTTGTCCCATTAATACTTTTCCTCCCCATTTTCACGTTTCAGTTTCTTATGTGGTTACTAGCACCTGTAAACAGAAGTGAGCACAACAAAAAGGGAATTCAATGTAAGCACACAAGAATAGAATTCTGGGGCTAGCCCACTAGCTTAGCGGTTAAGGGAGCCAGAGCCCACATGGCCAACCAGTGATTCAAGTCCCAGACCTGGACTCAGTAGCTTGAGAAACACACCAGGTGCATATGGGTGCAGGCCCCACATCCTGACAGGACGGGGAAATGGAGAAAGAGGGATTAAAAGCAGCATGACTCTGCCCCACTGGGGGTACTTCCTCCCTACCCCTCTCCTCCTGTGTTTTTCTCTTTGTCTGGCAAGTGCACATGCTCTCTGGCAATTAAAAAAAATAGAATTCTATACGAATGCATAAACTAAAAATGTCTGTAGGTGTAACCCTCTGTAATGTGTTTCACTGGTACCCCTCACAGCTTCTCTCTGAGAACGACCTCACAGCATGGACTGTGAATTGCACTTCTACCATGTGTCTGCCAGGAAAGGCTACGTCACATAGCAGCAGCCAGCACCCCAAACCTCAGTGTTTCCTTATGCGTGTCCTGCCTGGGTACACGAGGGCTCAGCTCACAATGGCCACTCAGTGATGGTCACAGGCTGTCCTACAAACAGACGGCCCTGAGTGCAGCGGCTGTGATGACACCAGGCCGCGATTTGCACGCAGTCCCGGAGAGTGTCTAATTGTACTGGCCAAAGCGTTAATTGGCTACACCTAACTTCAGAGAGGGCAGGCAGTGCAGCTCCACCACCTGCCTAGAGAACTGGAGCTGCATCAGGCATGAGCCCACAGCCCACCCTCGGCAATGTGCAGGTGGGGACAGGAAAGCCAGACAGCATGGGTCTGCTGCATTTCTCAGTAGGACTACGCATCCCATAATATTCTTCTAAAGCCAGACATTCCTCCTGAGCCACGGTGCCTGAATCCCACCCCCAAGTAAGCTCTTGTATCATCAATCCTCCCCATTCCCCCACCACTACCTCAGTAACCCTAACCCTCCGCAGGTCTCATTTGGATACTTTGTGTAGACTAATCCCACCCACCCAGTTCTTCCTCTGGAAAGAAACACATACACAAGCTTTTCCTGATTATAAAAGCGCTATAAAAATGGAAAAACCAGTCCTCAAATTCATGTAGAATTACAAAGAACCCCAGCTAGTCAAAACAGTCTTGAGAAAAATGAACAAAGTTAGAGGTCTTGCACTTCCAGATTTTAGCTGCCTGCAGAGCTGCGGTGACCAGCTCTATGCCAGCCTGCTCCAGCTCTTAAGTGAGACAAAGACCAGTGCAGGCGTACTCTTCAGTCAGCTCATCTTCCGAAAGGCTGCCAATATGTATCAGTGGGAGAAGAGTAGTCTTTGACACATGGTGCTGTTACAACTCCATGTCCATATGCAGAGAATGAGGTTGCACTCTTCATACCAAATACAAAAATTAACTGAAAATGGGTTACAAATGTAAGAGTTAAGTCTGTAAAACTCTTAGAAGACAGAGACAGACAGACAGAAAGCAAGAAATCACCCCCCCGGGGGGGGTGGCCATGCCGCAATCCCTTCTCCTCCACTCTCTCGGGATCTTGGGCACGCACACACACACACCCGGCGTGAGTTTTAAGCCACCGGGTCCAGGATGTGAACCGCAGTTGACTACATGGGAGTCCAGCAACATAGCCATTATGCCACTAACTGCTGGTCCCGTGATATATCTTCACGATCCTTTTATTGTCAGTGAATTCTTAGGTGTGACAGGACAAGCAGAAAAAGAAAAAGATCAATTGGAATTTATTGAAATGAAAAAATTTAATACATCAAAAGACATTATCAAGAAAGTGAAAGGACAGTGTATTCAATGGGAGAAAACATTTGCAAATCATGTAACTATAAAAGTCTCAAATTCAGAATATATATATAAAGAACTCTTATAACAGCCTTAGAAAGACAAACCAATTAAGAAAAACCAAAGCACTGAAAACAGGTGTTCAAATGCAACCTGTACATTTATGTTCTAGCTGTGCTTTTTACAATAGCTGGACAGAGGAAACAACCTAAATGTCTATCCACTGATGAATGGAGAAACAAGATGTGGTGCATTCACATACTGAGATACTCAGCCGTAAAACCCAGTGAAGTTCTGATACATGCTACAACATGGATAAAACGTGAGGACATCAGGCTAAGTGAAAGAAGCAGGTACCCAAGGCCACAGGTGATGCGATTCCATGATATGAAATCTCCAAGGAGGCACGATCATAGGGGAAGAGAAGGCAAGTGGCTGCCAGGGGCTGGTGGGAGCCATAAGCAGCTGATGTACATGGTGTCCATCTGGGGTGATGAAACTGCTTAGGCACTAGAGCGTGGAGGTGCTACACAAGAGGATGAGTGGACTAACTGCCACTGAGCTGTACACTTGAAATGGCTAAATGAGTGAATGTCATGTTCCTTGTGCTAATACAGTTTAAAAAAGGAATACTTTCTGATCACTCAAACATTTTTGGACAATATAGAAGTGTTCCTTTTTACTTTTTATGCATACGATCCTATATTACACATTTTTTAAATGTTTTAAACAGAGTTGAGATTATTATACATACTCATAGGTTGTCAGGAAAGTCATGATGCATTTTCACATAGAAAAACAGAAAAATACGTCCCGACAACCTAATACTTTTTGGCTTTTTTATTTTCTATTGTAGCTTGAATATTTTCCCACTTAACTAAGGAAACTGACCCCATCATTCTTCAGCAGTTATCAGTATACTATTATTACAATTTCATTTTAGTTTATTTTGCCGCCCCCTCTTTTCCCATTCATGCTGAGAATGTGGCTTGTTTTCATGATAATTATATATTATTTCTGTTAGTTTCATGGAAATAACAGTTTGGAAGCAGTTGGCTTTATTGAGACAATGTATGAAGTATTTTGCCACAGGAAAATCATATGGTGATATTTTCTCTTTTGAAAGTTTTATTTAATGATAACATACCTATAATATAACTACTTTTCTTTTCCAAACTTGGAAAAATGTGAACCATAAAACACTAGGTTTGAAAAACTGCCTCGTTGAAATCTTAGCAGAATTTTCCAGTCTATTCAATCTTTTTTTTTTCTTTTTTCTTTTTTTTTTTTTTGGGGGTGGGGAGAGGTTTTCACTATAGGGCATGTGTGCTCACCAGACAGACAGAGAGAGACATAGAGACAGAAAGTGAGAAATCACCCCCCAGGGGGGATGGGCACGCCGCAGTCCCTTCTCCTCCATTCTCTCGGGATCTTGGGCACACACACACACGCGCCTGGCGTGAGTTTTAAGCCACCAGGTCGGGGACACGTACTGCGGTCGACTACGTGGGAGTCCAACGACATAGCCATTACGCTAACTGCTGGTTCCCCCAGTCTGTTCAATCTTAAAAAGTCAGTTGTTTCATCTGTATAAAATAAATTCAGTAGCTTTAACTCCATATGTAGTTCAAATATTTTGGTAGAAAATATTTAATAGCCATGCATACCTAGAATCATCTGATAATAAATATTTCTGTATTCTAGATGGTGCTTATTATAAATGAAAAATCAGTTTGCAAACTTACATGAATTATCTGTACTCTGATTATAGCTGTTTAAAACACATGCATAGTAAACATACTGCAAAAAAAAAAAAACAAAATAATAACTATGGTATTACAAGTGGTAAAATAAGTAGTTAATTTTCTATTTTCTCCATAATTTTTTAAAAATTATTTAAGAATTTATCTTTGGAGATTAAACAAAAGGTAATGTTTAACACCTTGGGTCTTACTTTGGAAGGTTATCTTCATGGAGGTTCTCTCCTCTGTCTCTCTCTTCCACTTTCTCTTTACCCCTCCTCCCCGCCGCCCTCCCTCCAGTCCCCCACAGCCAGTTGCCTTACCTGGTAGCACACTGTAGCTTGATTCTACTCCAACACCACGTAACAAGGGTTCGAATTTTTCCTCCATGCTGTCGTCCAAGTTTAGGATGGGCAGTCTTGCAACTGGCGTAGCAGTCCCTGTTTGCCAAATTTCCAGCTGTCTATTTGATCTACGGTTGGGTGAGGGACTTTTCCTCAGTTTTTTATGGTACATCTTCCTCTTTTGCTTCCTGGGAATTTCTTCATTTTGTCCAGCATCAGTTTCAACAATGATAAGAACAAAACAAAACAAAACTACAAAGTTCATGTTTGATTTTTCATCAGTCAATTTCTAGAATGAAATAAAATTTCAAAGTTAGTGGTTACTAAACTTTCACTATTATTTTTTATCAGAGAGTACATGTGCTAGCCGGAGACAGAGGGAGCAAGTTCCTCCAAATAGGCTGCATTCACACCATAATCCCTTCTCCTCCGTTCCTGTTTTCCCATTCTTTTGGGATCTTGTGTACACATACATGCCCAGTGTGTTTCAGGCTGCCAGTTGTAGGGTTGGAACTATAGCCAGCCATGTGGAATCCAGCTCCCCTAACCATTAGGCTACAGAGTCAGCCCACTTTTACCTTTCAAAATTAGCTTATGGGCCAACTGGCAGCATGGTGGTTAAAAGGTAGGCTCTTACATAACTGGTAATACTGGTTGAGTCCCAGACCCCATAGCTTGAAAAACACATGCATGTCCATGTGGGCCCAAAATCTCAAAAAGCGGGAAGTAGGAGAAGGGATTATGACATGACCATGCCCCATGGGGGGGTACTTTCTCACATTAATTCCCATTCCTACTCTCTCTCTCTCTCTCTCTCTCCCCTCCTCTCTCCCTCTCCCTCTCCCCCTCTCCCTCTCCCCTCCTCCTTCCCCCCCCCACACACAGTAGCACATGCCCTCCAGCTAACTAAAGGGAAAAAAAAAAGAGTTCATAATGGCCTGCTTGCCTCCACAGGCAACATATGGGCTGGAAGCAGAATTTGGAATTCAGAAAGTTCTTATCCTCATCACAGGATCAGGGATCAGCAACCTGTTTCCGTACAGAGCCAGATAGTAAACACTGGAGGTTTTGTAAGCTACCCATCCTCTGCCCTAGCCGCTGAACTCTGCCCTAGTGCACAGGAGCAGCCACGGACCATATGTAGATGGGTGAGCGTGGCTATGTCCCAGAAGCTCTCAGTATGGAAGCAGGAGGGGGGTGGACCTGGCCCTCCGCTGTGTGAGGAGTTGACTTCTCTCTGAGCCCCCCTGCACTGCAGGTTTCAGTCATTCCTCGGGAGGTTTCTCTTCACCAGTCTGCTGAGGCGTTCTTAACTACCATCATCCACGAGCCATCTGCCCAGCCCTTCTATGTTGTTCTTTTATTCTCTGGCTTCATCGTTTTTTTTCTTTTGGAGGAGGAGGGCACAGTTGATTATATACAGGTAACAGTGAGCTGTACTAAGCAGGGGGATATAACAGGCGGGAAGCCAGGGCTCGAGGGCAGCACAGGCCCTCCCCACACACGGGAAAGCAGGGATGTATCTACGCCAGACATGTGCAGCCACTCTTGGTGGGACTGTGCTCAGGCAGATTGTGCTGTCTCTGTCAAGGGAGCAGAGACAGATGAGGAGGGACTTCCTCGAGGTGATCACAGGGGCTGCTGTCAGAGGACTCAGCAGCCAGACTCTGAAGTTACTCCTGCCAGGGGAGGCTGGCGCCACCTCCACTGCCTCTGGGAACAGCAGCTGATACCAGTGCGGGGTACAGCTGCCGACCTGCTGCTCGACTCAGGCTCTTTGCTGTCAGTGTCCTGAGCTGGAGGGCCCTCCCGACACAGCTGGACTATGTGGACGAACAACTAAAACCCCAGGGGCTGTGAAGACCCAGGAACACAAGAGCTTTGTTGCTGTCACCTTGTAGTGAGAATTTAAAGTACTGGGCGATCCCAAGAGGTTCGAGTAGCAGCCTTACTCAGTGGCAAAGTGTATCCAGACCTCCCTGGCCTGCCTTAGTCCCTCCTGTCCCAGAGCAAGTCCATGTGGCATTTCAGAAATAGTCACTCTGGCTGTTCATGTGCAGGAATAGTAAAAATTTCAAGGTAGTGTTACATATGGAGATTAAAACCCTGAACTGCAAAGGAGAGGATTTGAATGGTTAAGAGGTGACAAGTGGCCGCAGACTCTATGTCAACCCAACCATCTTATCACACCCTGGATTATAACTGTGAAACACTGTAGGCCTTTGACTTGATCTTTCTCCCTGCCCATTTAGACAATTACAATGTTTGGTATCTCAAAATCCCACTATCTCAGAGGTCTGCTTTACAGCCAAGGGCAGGCTGTGAGAGATTCCAAGCACACACAATAGAAAGCCATGTGCTGGGGATAATGGCATCTTCCTCAGGTCATTGTTCCCACCCTCAGGTTTAGGAAATGCAGTGATCGGGTGCTCAGTCTAGCCAAAGGCCCTCATGGTCCCTCAGCAGAATCTGTACGGGTTGTGGCCAGTCCTGGCTTCCTACCCTTGGTACTTGGTCTAGATACAGAGGTCTCTGACATTCTGCCACACGGTTCACCACCTGAAGGCCAAGAATATGAGCATTGTTTGGCAGGGGGCACCATCCTTGCATTGCCATGACACATTCCTGCCCTGTGAACAGCTGGGAACCAGAAGGGAGCTGCAAGAAGTAGTGACTTTTGGAGAGTCCCGTGACGTTAGTCCATGGTCACTGCTAGAGAACTTGTCAGCCCGTGTACCTGTACTGCTACAAAACTTACCACAGCTGACCTCTCCTTCAGCTGAGACAGAGCAACAGGGACAAGATATACCTTCCCACCTGAGACAACTTAAAAATAAGACAGACTGTAGGAAGTGTTTCCCAGGCATGGAACAGAGCAGTCCAGGACAGTGGCCCCTGAGAGAGGGGTAAACCCAGTGAGCCCTGAGGTTGACGGCCACTCCCCACCTAGAGGGAAGCTGCAGGCCACAGTGCAGGGAGAAGAGCCCAGGTGGAGCCATGCAGAATTTCTGGGCTGAAAAGACAGAGCTGGGGATACCCAAGAGGTTAGTGTTCACAGAGCAGAGTCCAGAGAGGCGAGAGCTACCCACAGAAAGCCTTCTAGAGCCCTCAGGTCCTCAGCCAATCTCAGTAGCATTTGTGTGCGTGTAAATCACTCAAGACTAGGGAAGGCATTACCTCAAGAGGAGAATCTAGCCTGGAGCTAATGGCTGCTCAGTGCTCATGTAACAAATCTTAAAATCAAGCTTTTCAGATAGAATCAAACTGTATGCAATAACTTACCCTTGCCCCAGACCACTCAACAAGTGTTTTGGAATCCACTGTAAACTTAGCAAGCATACAAAGAAGTAGGAAGAGTTTACCCAGAAGGATGAGGAAAAAAAATCAATCTATTTAAACCAATCCAGAAATGACATTTCTGACATAATTATTAAGTAGGTTATTAAAGTTATTATAACTATAGTCTATATGTTCGAGAAGGTAAAGAAAGATTAACAATATTAAATAGAAAGATGCAACTTTTTTAAAAAATCCAAACCAAACTTTTAAAGATTAAAAACTATCATGTAAAAGGGCCAGCTGGTGGCATGGTGGTTAAGGCACTGAATCCCACGTGACTGACTACGCTGTTCGAGTCCCAGACCTGACAGCTTGAAAAATATGCCAGGCACATGTGCATGCATGTCTAAAATCCAGAGAGGAAAATGGAGGACAGATTGCAACCATCAAAACACTAAACAAAATTATAATGTAAAAGAGAAACTAAGTTGCAGGAAAAAAAAACTTGTAAATTTGGGGGTCTTGGGTTTTCTTTGTTTAAGAGAAATTTTTGTTATAGAGTGCCTGTGCTCACTGGAGAGACAGACAGAAAGTGAGAAATCACCCCCCTGAGGGGATGGCCACACCTCAATTCCTCTTCCTCCATTCTCCTCTCGGGATTTTGGGTGCACACACATACATCCTGTGTTAAGTTTTGCGTTGCTGGATCCGGGCCTCGAACCACAGTCAACTATGTGGGAGTCCAGTGATGTAACCATTCCACTATCTGTAAACTTGATTTTAAGAACAGCAAGAAGAGGGACCAGTAGATGGTGCAATGGTTACATCACTGGACTCCCACATAGTCAACCACAGTTCAAGTCCTAGACCTAGTGGCTTAAACTCACACCAGGTGTGTGTGCATGTATGCCCAAAATCCTGAGAGGAGAATGGAGGAGGAGGGATTGTGGTGTGGCCATCCCCCCTGGGGGGTGATTTCTCACTTTCTATCTCTTTGTATCTCTCTCTCTCCAGTGAGCACACACGTCCTATAGCAAAAATCTCTCTCTAATAAAAAAAGAACTTCAGGAAGAAATAGGCGAATCCACAGCTGTCCAGAATTTAAACACTTCTGTCTCAAATATTCATTTTAAACATAGTGATTACAAATTAAGATACCAGTACATGACTATCAGAATGACTAAAACCCAGGACACTGACAACACCCAGTGCTGGCAAGAATGTAGGATGGCAGGAACCCTCTCCATGTGGGTGAGAGTGCAAAATGGTGCAGCCGCTTTGGAAGATACTTCAGCAGTGTTTTACAAAACTATAAATAATTTCGCCATATGACCCAACAGTCATGCTCTCTTGTGTTGACCCAGGCAAGTTAAAGATCTTTGACGACACAAATAGGTGCACAGATGTTTATAGCAGCTTTATTTATAATTGCCAAAACTTGGAAGCAGTCAAGATGTTCTTCAGTAATTTCATGGATAAACAAACTAGTGCATTCAGACAATGAAATATTGTTCAGACTAAAAAGAAATGAGTTAGCAAGCCTGGAGACAAGTAGGAACCTTAAAGGCGTGTTACTAAGTGGAAGAAGCCAAGTGAAAAGGCTGAGTAATACTTGCTTCCAACCATATCATGTTCTGGAGAAGACAGAGCTGTGGAGGTAGTCAAAATTCTAGCAGGCTATTTTGGTAAAAGTTGACAAGCTGACTCTAAAATTTAAATAGAAATACAGAGAACCTAGAATAGCCAAAGCAACTTTGGAAAAAATCAACAAATTTGGAAGACTAACAATACCATATTTTATTACTTCTTATAAAGCTATCACATTGTAGTTTGGTATTGGTGTTAAAGTAGACAAACAGATCAGATAAACAGAATAAAAAGTCTAAAAATAGATTGAACACATATGATCAAATGTTTATCAGCAGAGGTGTCAATAAACATTTTAAATGAGGAAGGATGATCTTTTCAATCAGTGATACTGGAATAATTGCATAGCCGTACACAAAAGAA